GTGTGTGTGTGTGTGTGTGTGTGTGTGTGTGTTTGTATATATATATATAAGAGAACCGTATAACTGTTACAATACGTAGTGCGATGGTATACTACATACAGTAGTCTTTCACTGGCACTCTTTATTGGTTATGTGTATAATTCACAATTAGTGCGTCGTGCGCATGTGTGCATGATCGAACCTCCTGCGCACATTCTAAAGTCGTGCACGAGTCTGTTACCATCGGCGATTCAAATCTTACTCTTCGTCCGGGTAGATGTATTTACAAATGCGCTTGAATACATGCACAGCTATGTTTTTTTACGAGTACATATGATTGTTCACTTCTATTCCAGGAACCGATGGCAATCCAAAACTACAACTATCCATGTTGCTCCTACCTGACTCTATGACAACCCTTGTCGCTGGCGCATCAGTGCTTCCCGCCTTTTCCTGTACGCGTCCAAGCACTTCTTGAATTGGCTGGACGACCGAAACCCGAAACGGATCGTATTCAGCAGGAAATCGCCCACTATCTCCTTCACCTCAGAGAAGAGCTTCGAATTCAGCAGAGGATTGCGCGGAGATGATACACCCAATCCTTTACTACTACTGACACTGTTGTTCGTGATCGTAGTGCTATTACTATTGGTGTGGGTACCTGCATCGCCCATATTCGAGGTGCTGCTGTCCGTATGGTCCAACGAATTTCTTTTCGGTTTGACAGTGGGTGTGCCAGCGATACTGCTAGGCGTTCTGTCAATAGGCGTTCTATCCACAGAATCAATCTGATTGGATGTTGGCCGAGCCTCCACCACACTCCCAGAAGAAGAATTAGGCTTCGAACCTTTGATCCTTGCCAGCTGAGGCACACTCGCTTTCAATGCTTGTGCATCACTAAACACCTTGATCAACCTACCACGAGCCTCATGTGATATATTCACCGACATGATCGCATTAGGAGCAATAAAGTTCTTGTATATCAACTTCGCTTTGGCCTCAACTTGTTCCGTTACCTGTGCGATAGGCCAGGCTAGCTGGCCCATACCGCCCATGGTATAACCCAGCGCTAAAACTCTTTCCAAGCTACTACTAGTCGCGTTGAACACAGTGGTGTTATTCAGCATATTCTCAAACTCGATGATTGCTTCGTAGCACAACAAATTCTCACTATTCCAACAGCTAACGGAATACTCCAGCAATGCTTGCCTCAATATGGGGTCACTCAGGACCAGCTCCAGATTGAACCGCGCAGCCGGTAACACCGTAAGAGAGGACGAAAGCACACGCTCGTTTGCGCCTAAAACAAAATTCTGACTGGCGGCTCCGTGCATATTCCAATTCACATTTGGATTGGCATTCATATTTGGGGATGCAATCGTATCATTCCCGTCATATTGGGGGGTGTTTGAGCTAGCACTAGTACGGGCAAAACGCCTCGCTGTATGTGGGCTGTGAGTTCCCCAATCGGAAATTCGGGCCATAGTCTGTCTCAATCTCTCGCGTTTACTACCATTGTGTGTATGGTTCGTGGTATGGTTATTAGTAATTTGGGGTTGGACAGGAGGTGTTCTCAATGCTTGATCTACCAACAAGCTCTCCTTGGTCCTAAGGAAATCTCGTCTTCCCATAATTGTGTTAGTATTAGTGTCAGTACATGTAGTGGTATTACTATTGGTGTTCACGTTGATATTGGTACCAGTCCCAAAATGGGATACGCCATCCGGGGTCGGCAACTCCTTAACCGCGCCATGACTCGTATCAACGCCCACTCTAGGTCTATATAAGGAACTTTCGGCGGTTTGATGATCACCCCTATCTTCATTGCCCCTACTGCCATGTATCAAAACATGCGGAATATGTATGTGCTTGGATGCTCCAAGGTGTGTGTGCCGACCACCGGAGGCATCGAACCCACTACGAAAGGGTCGTTTAATAGCCTCCACAAACCTGTGTACCACACCCATATGCTTGTCCTCTTCCCCATCGTCTTGCACACCACCGTCTTCAATTTCATCGCTTCCCAACGCAAGCGTACTTTCTTGGGCATGCATGTCTCTGAGCGGCCCCTGGCCTCGTGTCCGCACAGCCGGGAAATTCAGAGTACTCGTTTCCAGCCCTACGCCCATATGATCATACGCCTCACCCGTCTCCTGACTGTCCTGCGACGGATTTCTTATTGAAGCCGGGGTTTCCTCCGATAAACTGCGCTTAGTCGTGTAATTGGGCCCCTCTAGGGCTGATTTGTCCAACTCCCTATCGTAGTCATCACTACTACCAATATCTTCCTCCAGCGTTTTAGCTGCGCACAAACTGCCGGCTAGCAGTATAGAGTGTCCCAAAGAATTCCCACTCATGCTCGCAGTGGGGCCTATATTTGTAGTACTATTGATGCTACTTGTCGTTGTCTTGACGCTGTGGCTTGTGCTGATGTACGATCCCTTCCTGGACTCAGCCGATGGCGGGCCGGAAGTAAACATCGGTACTGAATGGATGGACGTGCGCGATGCGCTCATGCTGGAACGGTTTCCCATCCCACTTGAGCCTTGTCCTGTTTGCATATTCCCTAAGCCAAGCCCTACAGCACTTCTACCCATTAAGGCAATACCGTTCGCCTGGTCGACATCGCTGTGGCTGCTGTCATGGTACCCTTCGCCGTTTGCTTTGATGGCAAGTTCGTGGAGCTCCGTCTGGTTTAGCATGTGGATGTCACCAAAATTCCCCATGGGGCCAAAGATATCCCCTAAATCCGGATTGAACAGAAAGTAATGCATCCACAGAGCCATCATAACCGGCACAACAAGCAGCGGTAAGGAATATGACAGATCCATGACATAGGTACCGATACTATTGTCCGACGACGACCAAAAATCCATCACTGTATTGAGATTCACCACCACGTCGACGCCCATGCACACCATGTACGTGTACGTCGTGACAGATTGGAAGTAGCCGTCCTTGACTATAGCAATATAAGGCACTGCTGAGACCACCACAATCAGCAGATATACGAAGAACATGTAATTGTTGATTTGTTGCCCTGTGTGTGTCAGACACAGACTGGGATCCGTGATACGGGTCTCCAGACACCGCTCCTGTGTTGACTGAGCGACTGCTTCCGCGTCCACCACAAAGAACATAGGCAGGAAGTGCAGGGTTCCCGCAATAGTCGTGAATGCTGCAACTGTGGCCCAGTTCATCAGCCACTGCCAGTGCCGCATTAACCACGGCGCGTCTGGGTCTATTTCGTCACTGTCTGTGACCTCTACGACATAGGACTCTCTCGAGAGCGCCGCTATTGAACTGTCTGAGGGGTTGTACGCATTAACCTGTGCGTGTTTAGGCTCGGAGACCGTTTCAGACTCGTCCTCGTGCTCGTGGTCGCCGTCGTTATGGTTCCCATCTTCGTATTCCTCTCCCGCCAGTACGATATCCATGGAACTTTCGTGGTCCCACATTGTACCGATATCTCTATCCCGTGGTGATCCATAGGTAGTACTGAAGTCTGACCGTGCCATACTACTACGTATTTCCCCTTGCCCTTCGGTTTGTATTTGGTACGGTTGATTTGGTCTGTGCTTGTCCTGTTGGTGTTTACCAGGGTCGGTGCTGGTTTGACCAGTATGGTTGTCATCCATAAAACTAATGCTCTTCTTGTCCGAGTCTCGATGCTCACAATCACTCATACTAACTGGACGGCGGGATTGCGGCAATTCAACCATACTCAGGGACTCCACCTTCACATTAACACGTGCATTATTCTCGCACGTACACGTATCTCGACAAGTGTGTTTGTGGCAGCTGTTCGCAGGTTTCGTACCTACATACTCACCACTCAGGGAAGTATCCATAGTCTTACTGTCACCCATCTGAGCACCATCTCCTTCCGCATTTGTACTGGCATGAGTGTCAGCGATGACATTCGTATGCCTGTGCTTATTCGTATGTGCTGTGGCACCATCGTATTTGTATGCACCCGAACCCAGCTGTGAACCCCCACCTTCCTCTTTGCCACGGTTCCCCTCAGCCTCCTCCGACCACGCACCACCAGCCATGCCGCACTCGCACACAAACGAATCACCAATGCACACATTCACACGCCCACACGCAGGGCATCCGCAATTCACAACCCCGGCTGCATTTGCCGGTACGGACAGTCGATGCGCAACATCTGGCGATCTATCGGGCCTCGTACACCCCGAATTCACGGACATAGTACCACACTGACTGGCACCGTTACTATTATACAATCCACCTTTTCTGCGAATGACTGTCTCCTTACTATCGCCCCCTCTGCCACTAGTACTCCCATCAATGGTGGGACTGGTCTGTGGGGTTAGGCTGAGCACATTATGCGCATACTCGCCTCGCCGGTCACATTCATACGACCTCTGCCGGGACATGGATCGTGCCAGATGCTTGCGTTTGTCGAAATACACAGCTGCATCGCTCATAGTTCTATGCACCAGACTCCTCTTCCTATTGGTATTGCCGTCACCTTCCTCTGCATCCACGTCACTCTTGGCCCCACTGGCGGCCCATTTTCCGTCCTCTTTCACGGATTGACTCAAGTACGGGCGCTTGTTCCTGTGTGACCGTCGCAGAGGCGGTGATCGGCTTAGCCCCTGAAATATCTTAGATCCTGTACTGCTATAACCAACGGTCCTATCACTAGTAGTCGTCCGCGCCCTCTGGCGTCTAATGATTTCCTTCCAATGCTCAGAGCTACCACTTACATCGAATACATCGCAGTCTTGGTCTTTGTGAAGAAGTATTTGTCGTGCTATACTTGATTGCCAATTCGCGGGAAGGTTTATCTCTATCTGAGGTATGTTGGTAGCGTATTGTACATTCATGAGGGCTAGTTTGTATGCTAATGTCTGGTGCCACAGATAAAGGCAGTAAACAGGCCCCACCATGTATATACCTAACCATCTAATCAGCATAGACGGATACGAGCACACCCAGTCTGCATCAATTGCACACATGGTGAAGATGAAGCCATCTAAGATAAACCACGCGCTAATCACAAACGGCATGGCGTACGACCGATGTACCAGCGGCTCCCACTTGCGGAATACAATTAGGGCTGTGACGCCTATAATGAACCATATCATGCGAGACAGACTCGTCCAGTACTGCTCGTGATCCACAAAGGTCTCGCACTCATAGCTCTCTTGTGTGTGTGTTGATGTTGTGCCGCTACGATAGTCGAAATGCTCATTCGTTTGTACATAAGTATCTTGGTCAGTGTCATCAGCTGCGAAGCGCCGAGTCAGGTGGTATACGTATGACAAAATGTCTGCACTTTTACCAGAACTGACTTCCGGGGGCCTTGAAGGCGTGAGAAAGGGTGCGTACATAATCAAACTCCGAATATGTCATGTATTTACTTATATATATTTATATATGTATATACCTATATATATATATATATTAAAAATATTTATATTTATATATATATATATATATATATATATATATATATATATATATATACTATATANATATATATACCTACTATATAGACAACGATATATATATATATATATATATACGATATATATGTGTGTGTATGTTTGTGTGTGTTTGTGTGTGTGTACTTGTATATGTGTGTATGTGTACACACGGGTATACTTGAATATGTATGTATGTATGTGTGTGTGGGTATATATATAGATATATATATAAATATATAGATAGATATATATATATGTGTGTGTGTGTGTGTGTGTTTGTGTGTGTGTGTGTGTGATAATCGACTCAATGTGTATAAATACACAAATTACATATGTGCGGTTGCTGTGAAACAGAGTGCGAAGCGGTGTGCTTCCGAATGCATAGCCGTAGGTGGGTCCGACTGGCTTTAGCTGATTGTTTGAAGTTGTTTCGCCATGCTTACGTATAGGACGGAATCTGTTACGCTCAACTTTGAAAACGTAGTGAGTGCCTAGCTGAAGTTGATAAATAGGTACACCTCACACCTGCGTCAACACGATCATCAGTTCATCACTGAGCATTTGTCTGAACTTTAATATGTAATTCTCAAATTTATATATTATATCGATGTATTTCCATCATGTGTTGTCGATTTACTGTGTCTCGGCCTCTGGCCGAAGTAAAACGTAAACCTATATCAATTCCATGTCTATACGTTAAAACGCAAAATGTATTGGGTCATGACTCATGACTCATGTTTTTTTAATAAAAAACAAACAAGAACACGTATTTATGTTCAGTTGTTGATTGTTGACCGGTCTGAAGAATTCTCTTTGACAGTCTTCATTTTGCGAAAATGGGATTTCATAACTTATGAAATTTTCAAACGATTCGGGGACCCAATTATTTGAAAATCACCCTGATGAATGGGTAAAAAGACTTTCAAAAATTGATTTCTATTTTGGATAGACCAATAGATTTTGATCAAATTTCACCGCGATACATAGTCCAGTAACATGTTACCAGTTTATTTTTTAGATTATTCCGTACTTGTCTATCCTACCCTTTTTTTCGCAATTGGGCAGCCGTTTCATCCTTTTTGGGCCTCGTCCATCGGGGTTTCATTTTATGGACATGGGACCGCTGTGGGTTTTTGAATATTTGTTTCTAAAATATGATTGGCTATGCAAAACAGCCGGCTACTAGCATCTAAGAGGCAAAATCCGCTGTTCGAAGACCTGTCCAATTGGGCGGATGGGTAGGATAGACAATAGAGAGTTGAGACTCGCCCTCCAAAATTGCTTTGAACCGAAACTTGTTTTGAATATTTGGATTGTTTCCAAATTGTCGAACCCATGAAAATATTTTTTCAATACATAATGAATTGAGACAACCAATGAAATTTCAATTTATCCACATGAGTCAAAAAAATTATTTCGAGTTTTTTTTAGTCCGGGGCTGGCGGTTTGAATAGTAAATACAGCCTTTCTTTTTTTTTTAAATAGTTTTTATAGTTTAGAGACAAAAGAGCCTTTGTTGATTTTTCGATTGTTTTGAAACAAATAGGCAACGTGCTACTACCATGTGTATATGCTCTATTATTATAAATATTATTATATTTATAAGAATAAAACAACAATGTCAATCATAAATATATAACCAAAAAATGGGTTGTAAACGTGAATGGTTGTAATCAGGTGTATTTTTATTTTTTTATTTTTTAGTCATTAGAGTTTGGATGACGAATTGATGACCGACGGGCGACGGAAGGTTGGGACACTTCGGACTTCTTCCCATTTTGTATTTTATAAATAATTGTTTAGCAACTTTTTGTATTTGTTTTTTTATTTTTTTATTTATTTTTATTATGTACAGTCCTCTTTATATGTCCAGTTCCCGGGATTGGCAAATATTTGGACATATAATGAGGTTAAACAAGTCTGGGTCAGTTTCATACCATCAGGTTCGGGGTCCAATCTATGGGAGTATGGGTCACACCAGGAGGAATTCTAGGCTCTCTCATTAAATACTCCTTCCCTTTCGTGACGAGCAAGCCCTGACTTGCACTAAAACCAGCTTCTCTAACCTTACTGACCCACTCAATCAAACGCTTTTCGAGCTCGTGATGTGTTCCTCTCCTTTCTCGATATTTCTTTTTTATATGTACCTCATAAGACTGACTGAGTATCTTCTCTCCGGACTCCATGAACCTTCTTATCCCTTACGATAGTTGTCTTTACATGATAGGTCTAAGCTGTATTCCGCGTTCTAGATTGTACGCACGATGACACCTTTATCTTTGTTTGTTAGATTGATTCTTTTTGTTGTATTGGAGCTCACCTTTGATAATACAGTCTGTTTATATGTTTTCTTCTTCTTACCTACAGTGAGCTTATCTATTATCATACTAGATATTCCTTTCATACCAGACGATTCATCCTGCTTTGGCGTCGACTGTGGTTTCGATCCGCCTGGTTCACTCGTTGTAGGTCCGTTTTGTGTCAATTCGTCTGGCTCTCTGTCTGTTATTAGTGAAACCAGACTCCCACATGTCATTCGGTGGCTGGCATTTATCTGTAGACAGGCAGTAACCGATAATATTTGAGCTATACCCCTCACCAAAGGCATGCATACTTCGATCGCAACCAGCACATTTGTGTACACCACCCACTGGGTGCGTTGTAGTGCATCCTTTCGCAGAACAGCGTTCACCACTAGAAGTGGCTATCGTCGGGAAACAAAACATCAAACCAATAACTAGCGCATGGTTAAAGCAATACATATGTTGTATACGTTGTGGAGAACCTGCTGTACCTGAAAATGATCTAGATGCCTACCCCTAGGTGGGGATATGGAGAGAGGTAGTATAGATAGATCATACCCGTGGACACTAGAGATGGTAAGGGATATTTCCCAGCTTCAGTAGCCAACTTGGTGATGGTGCATGTCTGTGGCTAGGTGGACCCAGGTGACAGCAGGGATGCCGAGGGAGGGGGTCCCCTATAAAATAGAGGTGGGGGTAGAATCCTACCTTCTCATCTTCCATAGCCTTTAAGCACCTCTCACACACTTGGGCTGTACCTGAAAATGAGGTACCAGTCTGCATCGTATGCAGACAAATATGGCACAGTATATGTCGTCCATCGTGCGGTACAAGTGATGACTTCAACTACATTGGAGGTCCTAAAGACACGTGGTACGGCGTCAAGCGAAGATGTTGCTTTGGCATTAATAAGAGCCCTAAATGCCCTGGATGTAATAAATACAAACTTATATACATTTTATTACATGTAATTATAGAGGACACACACATACATATATGTATATGTACGTATGTGAAATAATATATAATACTAATTTTATATTTATATATATTAATATATTATTCTTATTCTTATTCTTATTCTTATTTATAATATATATATATATATATATATATATATATATATATATATATATATATATATATATATATATATATATATATATATATATATATATATTATAGTTTTTCTTAATATATTCTATATATATATATATATATTTCTATATTGCGGTTTGTTTTTCTAATATCTTCTATTCCAGATTCCACAGTTTATTCTATACCGTTTACTTTAGTTGATCAGCCTTTTATTTTGATTGACAAGGTCTCGCTAAATTAAAATCCCCGGGCGTATCTCCCGGTGTGAACAATTTGTGAGGGGTAGTGGTTCAGCACACTTAACATTGCACACCTGATTTTTCACAGGAATGTGACTTGTAACTTGTTGCATACGAATGGTGAATTATAAAAGACCTTACACGGCTTTCGATGTTAAATGTTGGTTTTTCTTATAGTGAGTTGCGATCTAATGACAAAAGTAGAACGCTGACTCCGTCCTTAGAATTCACAATCTCCCATGCTAGAGTATCCACAGAAATAAGGACAAATGAACCCAGATTCGAAAGGATATAGACAGCCATTTTCCTTCACTTGCGCGAATTGCTCCTCAACGGTGCGTTCATATTCCTCACTTCCCTCGTCGTTGTCGAAAGTAGCGGGCAAATTGTTGTCAGCCATTGCGCTCTCCTTAGCATACGCGTTAATGGCGTCACAAGAATCTTCACTACTTTGTCCAAAGTATTCGATGTACTGCTCGTATGCTGCGCACATTCTGTCAATGGCTATTGAGCTCGGGGTCGACGCTGTAGAGTATGGGCAGTAGAAACTGGCAGGGGTGTCAATATCGCAAAATATTGATTCCGCATTATTCAGACGTATTGCCTCAGCTTCAAGTGCCGGCTGGCCATCATCACTGGTGCATTTGCTTTCGTATGAATTGTAAGAGCTGTAAGCACTTCTTGGCATGAATGAGTTTGTCATAGTCTTCTCGAATGCGAAATTGTTCGATTCTTTGCATCCTCTTTCCTTCTCGATCTGAGCCAAAGAATAGTATACGCACATCAAGTTACCGGCATATTCCTGACCCTCCGCATTGCATCTACTTCCAGTTTCTTCACAGCAAACACTGCCGCAGAATGAATACTCACCTGGACAATGTGGATCCTGACTACACTTCGTCGTCTTTTGAAAGTTTAGATCGGTGTTAACAACCTGGTTGGACTTTGCGCACACAGGTTCACCCCCAGATGCTCTTAAATCGTGGTAGAGACAAGTGATGGTGTCCGGTTCTGCTTCTATCTTCTTGCAGCATACTTCCTGGCAGTCTTCGAAGCTCTCAGCGGCAATGTACGTGTCGCGCTTCTCTTCATCGAGCTCGTAGCCGAAGCCACAATAAGTTCTTCCAAATACCGATTCATTTAAGTATTGCTCTTCGAATGCCGACTCGTTAATCTCTGCCACACACGTCGTGGAGCAGATGTCTTGTAAATAAACACTTGTCTCTTCGGCGTAGCGCCGCGGACCAGAGGTCCTAATGGGAGGATAAAGAGGTCTCTTGGCCCAACTGTTGGTCACAGGCTGGGGGTAAAGAGCCGCCTCTGCTACTGCGAGTAGCAGAATTGAGACGGCGATAGTAAAAATATCAGCTAGCATCTTGTATTATGTACACAATAAAATTGAATAGAAAACAATGATAAGAAAGAATAAGAGAAGGTGCACTTTTATAGTGCGGAGAATCAAGAAGTGAAGATGACCAGTTGACCACGAATACATTATTACTAGTTTGCGTCCGCCACGAGTCCACCGCAGCTCGTCCAAAAGAAGTATACAACTTTATTTAAAACTGCTTTTGAAGACCCCTAAATAAACATCACAAAGTTATCATCTATTTTGTACTACATTTTTTTAATTAAAACAAAACGAATCCAACCTAATTTTTCATTTCTTTGTTCAATTTTCTGAAGGCTATGATTTGTTTACCCTAAAAAAACCAAACAATATAAATACATACAGATAAATAGTTATTTGGATACATTACTCACATATTTATTTTAGTTACATTTTTTTAAACTTTTTTTCAACTTGTTTTAAAATAAAAATTTAAATCCTCCTTAACAACTGCTGTTGTTGACAAAAGGTTTTTATCCATCAGCCATCAGATGTGAAGATAGTGAGATGACAGATCATCTCTGGCGTTCTGGCCCTAAATGACAAATGTCACCCTGTAATACCGGATCCATTGCTCGACTCAGACAAGTCTCAGAAGTCAGTAGACTACTACTCTCTAATAGAGCTAGAGAGGTCTCTCTAGAGTAGTAGAGGAGAGTAGTTACATAGAAACTCAGGGAGTTAGGCTCGGCCGTTACGGTTACCGGGGTAAGCCATTATGGTCCGACCCGCAACCGTCCGTCAATATTCAACTATTTAGTATTTACATACCGCGAGAGCGGCTATATTTTTTTTATAAATATATTATAGTATCCAAGCGCGCGACTAAAATTCACGCAAAATGGTTTTTATAAAATATATGATTTTTTACTAAAATGTAAAAAGAAAAACAGTATACATATGCACAATCTTGACTGAACACCATCATTATTGATGATGATGATGATTCTGTCAGAGTCAGATGTGTGCAGTACATATGCAGATTGCAGTGAACTGAGTGAAGCAGTGTGCACTGTATGTACAGTGTAGCGTTGTAGACTGCAGTGTGGCTGTAACTGGCTATGCGCCTGTGCCCTGTGGTCAGTCTAGGACTCTAGTGTCTGTGCATAATGTGTTGTGAACTGCGAGTGCACTCTGTAGACTGTAAATAAATAACTGAAGGGGAATACAAAAATCTCTCCTCGTTGTCTCATATATATATATTTATATATATTTAAACAAATGAATCAAAAAGGAGGAAAAACAATCACTTCTTGTCTGGGGACTGGGACGACTTCGGACTGTGGGATGACGACATGACGTCTGGGTCTCTGGGAGTCTACATATTAGGTCTCTGGGACATGAGCCTAAAATATCAATAAAAATGAGGTACATAATGAGCTCGTCTGCTACATCCTCGCATATTCGTGTTATTTATTTATTTATTAATTTATTTTTAAAAAACCAATTAGCCTTGATTATAATATTTGGATAAAGGCTATGATATGCGCATATTATCTATATTTCAAACCAATGGTATGAAACATAAAAAACCATAAATAAAAATGTATATATAAATAGAAATAAATGCTATGATAAATAATCAGTAGTAGTAACGGTTGAACGTATAAATCTTGGTGATTCATTAAGACTGCGACCACTAAGTCTGACTTTTGGTTCTGCGACCACTGTCTGACGCTCTTGATAGACGCGTCAACATGCATCGAGCGCAAACATGATAAATTGCAACTGACGCTATACTACTGGTACGATAGCTCTGAAAATGGTAACAAAGCTCAAGGACAATACTATTGATAGGTGTGAACAATTATTTGTGCCTGTGAATTATCAAGTTCACAATATCTCTTATGGCAGGATATGTGACAACGTCTCCTGTGACCAGGATGCGCTCAGGAGACAAAATATCGAACTGGCATGTATTGTGAAAAAGCGATTTTCGGGTATCACCCGATTACAATAGTGTCAAAAAGAGTGTCCAACGTGTGCGTTTGTAATTTTTGATGTTATTTCGTCCTATTTGGTATAGTTTAAATTACAGGGTCTTTCACGCATACTTGCGAAGTTACACAACTATATGTATGGAAATATACGTCCTTCAAAACAC